TATATATATATATATATATATATATAAACTTATGATAGTGGGTTTCTTTTAAGGGATCTAAAATTTTTATTTTAGAATTGTAAAGTCCAAATTAGAAAAATATTTTAGTAAAGTAGATGATATCTAAAGTATCAGAACATTTACTATTAAATTTAAGAATACCAATTTTCTATTTAATTCATACATAATTGAATTTTTTTCAAACTTTGAATTTTTTTAAAAAATATTAATTATTAATTTTATATTGAAAATAATTTTCACTAATACTTTCTGACATTAAGCATATGATCGATCTTAAGTTTCCTTCCGTAGAAAAATTCAAGTGAAATCAATTTTTAATTAGGTCATATTCCTCAAGCTTCTTCTTCCTTTTTCATACTTTACTTTTTCTTTTTTTTTTCTCTTTTCTTTTTTTTTTCTTTCAAGATTTTTTTAATCCCTACTATTTTAGGTGAGGATTACGATATCTGGACAGACATTTAATGATTTTGAATTTCATTAAAGTTAAAAACTTATTTTTTATCTTTAACTTAAGATATCGTATTAGTTTTTGAAAAAGAATTTTCATAGAATCAAAATTCTTTAAAAAGCATTATTTTCAAAATTCTTAAATTTTTGAAAACTCAATTATTTCTATTATAAATAGTAAAATCATTTCCCTAATTTTTTTACTAAATATCTTAACTTTAGTTTTATCGTTTTTACTAACTTTTCTACTATGTTGTTCTATATCAAGCCTAAAAATTATAAGTTTTAGAATCCTAAAGATAACGCCACGTACCATAGGTAATTTCAAAATAATGCCATTGAGGACAAATAAAGTTAAATTTTCAAAAGTTTTTCTCTCTCTCCCAAACTTAAATTTTTAACAGGATAAAGCATTCAGTTCGAAAATGTGGGTATGAAGAAAATAATAAATACAAATTATAAAGCTTGCCTTCTATACATGGTTTTAACATGAAAATATACATGTACAAATTGAAAGGCAAGTGTACAACAATAATTAAAGTTCATTAAACATGATATATCAGAAAGATTTGCTAAGTAAAGGACTACTCTAAACATAATCATAAATTTAAAAAATATAGTAGTTCAGGAAAAACAAATAGTAAACAATCCGTCAACACAAATAACAAATCATAACAAATCCACGGAATACAACTACTACCACAAACACATTAGTAAACTACATCTAACAAAAATAAAGATAAACCTACTCTGCATTCTCATCATTATCATCATCATCATCATCATCCTCATCATCATCCTCATCCATATGGGTTTGGGTTCATAATTTAGAAATAGAGGTCTAGATGGAAACTTAACTTCCTAATTTCCTCGAAGAAAACTCACCAGAGAGGTATTGAAACTTGTATCATAATCATGTTTGAGTTTCAAATATCTCTGAACGTAATCAAACTTATGATCAGTATCAGTCACTTTATTTTGTAGAGATGCAATATCATGCACCAATGTCTGATAATCACTATGAAGTTCATCCAGAGTGGCTGAAGGGTGAGCAAAAGTATCTGAGGTAGATGGACTTAAAGTAGAGGTAGAAGGAATATCGAAACTTCCACCCCTTGACGTCAATCCAACATGTAGCTTGTATACAAGCACATTGGTCTTGCTAATGGGTTTAAGAGGCTATAATAGCTCTTCTTATCTCTCATATCCTACTCTTAATTGCTTACATAAAGTAAAAATCATGGCAGAGTATCCTAAACCTTCAGTGGTTCCACCTTTAGAGAAAATGAGAATATTCTGATAAGTTAGAGAGCCAATATTTATAGATTTCTTTATTTGAATGCAAAATTTCAAGGTTTCTCTCTCCTTAGTAACCTCATGTCGATGCTATTTTTGGTTGGAGGAGTTGCCTGTAAGAAGCTGTCGGTCACCAGAATCGAAATCTCATTGCTTGCTTCGGAAGGATGTCTTAATTTACGTATATATTTAGTTTAGAAAAATATGAAATCAAACTGACCCCATATTTTTCATAGTTTAAATGAAAGAGCATTGTACCTCAAATCCTATATCTATCCCGAAGGATAAACACAAAACTTGAGGCTGAGGCTCGATCAAATAAACTAAGGAATATATGACATGAAGAATTAAATAAGTTTTATATTAAGTTGGGTTCGGATGAGCTTCCTTTAGGGCAAGCCCCTATAGTTAATTACATCCTAAATGAACGAAGTTATCTAAGAAACTCTCGATAAAAATTTGGAAATATTATCTTCAAGGATTTTAAAAGGATAGAATTTTGCAATGAAATCAGATAAAGAGGTGTGAAATGGGATTGGCTCAAATTTGGAGCATTTTATTTTTGGAATCCAAAGGAGGAAGAACTAGGGGATGTCATGGATCCAGAGGAGAATCTCGGTGACTTCCTAGTCTATCCTATGATTGGCTTTAATTTTGAGAAGAAATTATTTAAGTATTTCATCATGCCAATTTTATTTAATTAGGGCTTACATTTTTGTGGAACGATCACACAAATAGCCTGGAAGATGTGAGGATTTAGGTCGTGACGAACGACAAACTCGGAATCCTACGATGAGTTAGAGCTTAGATTGCACAACATGATTGTACAAAGGTCTAAAGATAAGGTGAGGATTTATGTTGCATAAGGAAACAACCTCAAAATCCTATGGCTTGGTTGTTTAATTCTAAGGAAGGAAGTTGGTTTAGCTGGGGAAGACATGTTATGCTGTTGAATATAGTCGTGCTGCCCACTGTGCTAGCCCTTCCTTACTGTGATGAGTTTAAGTTTTCTAGGGTATTAAGTTATGATGTCAAGTCAGGTGGCCCTATGGTTGGAGTTCTTTAAATTTTATGTGGGATGTTAAAGTTGATTTGAACGACACCGGTTAGGATCCTGCGGTTCCCTCATTCCAGCACCACTATTTTTTATTGGATTCACTTAGTCCGAATGAATTTACTAAACCCAACTTAATGAGTTCCATAATTTTATTTTGACCGTGGGAAGCCACTTTAACAACCGTAGGTTACCTCCTCCGAGGGATTCCCGATCATCCGATAGAGACATCTTAATTTAGTTGTAGTTGTGGTTTTTTTGTGAAGTTTGTTATTAAATTTTGAGTTGTCTTAAATTTTGAATGTTGTGGCGGTTAATTTTATCATGATTGATTTTAGTTTTGGTTTTGGTTTTAGTTTTTTGGCTATCCTGACAGTTTTAGTTTTCATGCAGAGTGAAATCATTGTTTACCATGCAGGCTTGTGTTAATATCAAAAGTAAAGTATGAAAGTACAAGAAAGACGACCCTGAAAAGTGTAAAAGCATACCTGGCGAGTATTCTCGTTCCACCACCTGAAACTTAAAATACATGTCAGGGCAATTTATATAGAGGAAAAAAGTAAGGTTTTGGTAGTTTTCCTAACTCTATGTCATTTCTTGATGGGTCCTTAGGAGTTTAATTAATGATGATTTTGTTAAGCAAAACATATTAAATTTAATAGATCATCAAGATATCCAACATAACTAGAGAAAGGAGCAGGTCCGTGCTACTCTCTCGCTGCCTGGTGGAAAATCCCGAGTTCTTTAAAACTTATTATGTTGCTTAATAAGTCATCTTGTGAATACCCTTAATGCTCAGTGAACATTGATGTCTCAATTATCCCTAAGAATAGGTTAATTATCACTTGTGATTCAATCTAAGAATTATGTGGGTGAAGACCCTTAAAGAGGCAAGTTAGTGTTGTTGGAACACTTGGCCAAATTTTAACCCTAATT